TTAAGGTCAGAATAGGTAAAATCGAGCTAGTAAATCTTTGTGGGAACGATACTTGGACTCTAAAATCTATTTTATTACTTGAACGATCCGTACACTTGCAGTAATCAAAGTGTCAATGAACACTTTATTTGGATAAGATTATCTCGATTTTATTAAAATTCATCTGTGACTATGGTAATAAGATATAGTGCACATTTTGATATGTACTGAATTGGACAACGAGAAATTTAATTTGTAAAATTGACCACATAAATTTAATTTTACTTGATTAATGTACGTATGACCTTAATCATGATTGGGTAATGAACCTCAATTACTAACTTGAAGTTATTTGAAGTATCAATGAGTGATATCACATCATTGATCAATATCTCGATGCTTGGGAATTAAAGTGAAATAACGAGGAACGTACATTCACGATATGGTATACATAACTTATTTAATAAGCACAATAATGATATCAAAAGATTTTTAGTGGACAGGTAAATTATGATTTACTTATGATTTGGGTCCTAATGAATTATAACTCAATGAAATTCATTTTAGTCCCTAAATGATTTATACTATTCTAATTTATCCTTTTATTTTCGATTTGAAATAGATTAGAAATATCACGACTTCTCATGTCACTTGGACTAACTGTGAAATCCTTATTTTAATCTATTTTCAGCTAAGTTACAAATTCTCATAAACTTACATGGATCTTTAGAGATATTAAGAAAGGATAGGCGACTTGGTCTATTAGATCACTTATCAATAGCATTGTCGAGGGTGCACAATGTATTTCATGTACATATGTTGAGAAATTATATTTCAGACACTTCTTACATTCTTAGCCATGATTTAATTGGATCTCAACGAAGATTTGACTTGTGAAGAGCTACTACTACAAACATAGAGAGAATAGACAAGGAACTCGGACAAGAAAAAAGAGTAATTCTAGTAAAATACTTTGGAGTTATGTTGTGGTGGACGCAAAGTGGCAGTGAGAAGATGAGATGCGTGCCAAGAACCCACATTTTATTTCGTAAGTTTTAATTTTCAACATCGAAATCTGTTTAGAAACATAACTCGCACAACTTGCAAAGTTTGGGACTGTCAATTTTTTTACCAGAAAATACATATTAAAAAGTTGGGTGAATTTGAAATAAACATTACAACAAATGTTACCTTTTACGGCACATATTTACGGTGTGCATTTAAGGCATGCTGAAAAAAATGACTATTTACTACATGCCTTGAATGCACGCCGAAATAATTCAGTTACTAAAAGTATTTACGGCATACATTGATGGCATGCCGTAAAAAGTAACATTTTACAGCACACATTGATCGCACACTGTAAAAAGTAAACATTTACGGCACACATTGATTGCACGCCTTAAATTTTTTACTGCGACGGCGTGCCTCTTAACAAGTAAACTTTTACGGCATACATTATTATAGGCGTGCTGGTAATCAAATAAATAAATAATTTTTAAAAAATTAAATTGATATTTACGACGTGCATAAGCATGCCATAAATGGGTTTTATCTTTTACGGCATGCTATCAATGCATGCCGTAAATACTAGTTCACCTTTTACGGCATGCCATCAATATATGCCGTAAATACTGGTTTACCTTTTACGGCATGCATGCAATACCACTTTTTACGGCGTACAACTGAATGCCGTAAAATTTATTGACGGCGTTCCATAGATGCGTACTCTGCATGCCGTAAAAGGTAAACCACTTTTTACGGCATGGCTTATGACGGCGTTCATAACAATCTATAATGCAATTTGCATACAAAATCCACGAGATCGATATGCTCTAAATAAACATAAAAGTTATGAGATTTTGTGCAAATAATTGTGGAAATTATCAACATTTGTTGTTCAAGCATGGTCAGACTTTTGATCAGTCTCATCAGGAGACTTTAAGTACCACTTTTTGAGGCGTGCTAAAGCTTTAGCTACCTGTAATAAAATCATTTAGCAATAAATTATTCAACAGGTTTATTCACTTCTTTTATATTTAAAAAATTGTCCAAATTTACCTCATGATCCCAATTTGTTCTCCACATCATGAAGCTCAATGCTAGTGTCTCTGCGACCACTCCACATAACATCCCAATCCATATGCCCTGTGAATTCATTATTAATTTCAAAGAGGACAACATACATTTATCGGCTCACGAGGGAAAAAATAAGTAAGATTTTAACATGACTGTATGGACGTGTTTGGTATGGACAGTATTTGAGGAGTATGATGGACAATATTTCATTCTCTAATCCCATCCAATATTGTATGATTAAAGAAGAGAGACGCGTGACAAAATTTGTGAGTTTGTTATGCACAACACTATTCAGACTATTGTAACGAATATGGTGTAATATTGGCAATTGAACATTCAAACATGGTGGGTACTATGAAATATGTGGTTGAAAATGAATTTAAGGAAAAATGAGTTTTTGTAAATGGAAGCAAAACATGGGCTACATGTCATTCTACCAACAGAGCAAAAAGGCAAAATTTTACCTTAACTTGAAGATGAGTAACATATCCAAGTAAAGCTCCAACTGGTATTCCAATTATATAGAAGCAAATAATATTAATAATTGCAACTGTCGTTTGTAAACCCGCTCCAATTGCTACCCCTGATAGCAAACAAGTTATAGAGTAAGGAAAGAAAACGTTATAACACTACGATTAGACTCCGTATAGTTCAACATTTTAGTAGAACGGAAAAGAAAAGATAAGAAAAATAATCCGAAGAATAAATGACTAACCTGAGAATATTGGATAGATACTACTCAGCAACACTGAGAAAGCAAGTAGCATAGAAAGATCAGCAACACTATGTGCAACTTCTTCATCATTCGCGAATAAATATCCAATTTTATTGCCAAATACTAAGCAAAGAATCCAAAAGAATAGCCCTATCGATACTGAAGTACTGGTCACGACTTTAATCGAAAACTTCACAGCCTTCGCGTCTCCTCTCCCAAGCTCGTTTGCAACTCGAACACTAAAATCCAGCCAAACAGTGAGAATTAGTTTTTGAAAGCATAAAAGAAATGTAATGAGAAAGAGGAGTTGTTGCCTTTATACCATGCAGCACCCATCATGCCAACACTAATCATAGCTTCCCATCCCACTATATTAAGGCTGCAAAAAAAGTTAGATTTACTTAGTAGCTATCTTCACAATGTAGCAGAAAATGAGACAGGATTATAATGAAACTTTACCAAATAGAAAAGGCAGATATGGCAACCTTCGCATTTTTCATGTATCCTGCCAGTAAAACCAGAATGGCATAGTACCACAACTCCAAGCTGTAAAACAATCAAGAATGTAACTAGTGAAGATGCAACAGTAGAAGCAAATTCTGAAAGATTATATAATGTTTCTTAAACATCTTGGGCACCCAGTAATGAACAGCACTGAGCATGGACACGACTATTTTTCTAGTAGACGTACCAAACATGTCAATTCTGTGAAGTCATGAAATGTCTGCATGGATATGCTGCTAATGGAGAAAATTATGCATTACAGTAAGTATAATCTTGATGCAGCATTGTAGAAGGGTTCAAATAAATCCAAAGAAATAGAAAAGCTCTACTTATCTTTGAATATTTATCAGATATCTGATATTTAAAGCAATCTTACAAGAACTTAACGTCGATTCTATGAGAATAAGCACATAATTTGGTACTGAAATGGGGTGTAAAGCCTGATCAGGGAATATATACGTGCAATAAAAATGATAAATAGCATTACAACCTGTCTAGGTATTGTCCTAATTAGTCCAGAATAAGTTATAACGCGATAGAAATGAGTTATGGATAAGTGGTTAGTAGTTATAGGTTCTATGAAATGTGTGGTTAAAATTAAATTTTGACTTTAACCTTTAAATCAGAAGGAGCTTAAAATTAAACTCAAACAAGCTATCTTGAAAATTAGTTTGGGTGATTGGCCTTTGATGGGAAATAAATGATAGTGAGTAAAATTTACCAAATCATTACACCAGAGGATATTGAAAGTTTCACCACTGGCAACATGTCCTTGAATGCGGCTATAGTGAATCCTTTCCATGTGTCACGGCACCAACCTCCTAAGATATATACAAACTCTCCAATGACTAGAAACCACGAAGATATGCAGAGCGCCCCCATGGCACCAGAAATTCCCCAATTCAGTATGTAGACAAAAAGCCAAGATAAGGGAATGTGCATTACAAATGATATAATGGATAGCCATGCAATAACGATGTTCTTTTGTTGTGCTTGTAGATACATTTGGATCGTCATAGAGAAAACCATGCTGTAAACAATTGGGATGAACCACAGAGAAATATAACCAGCGGATTTTGCGATAGATTCTTCCTCGCCTAGTAGTTTAAATATTGGTGTTGCGAATAGAAAAACAGGAAGTAAGATCGTTAGTGTGATGAGATCCACAAGCCATGATCTTTGCAAGAAAATCCCCATCATATGGTACTGTTTTGCTCCAAATGCTTGCCCACAGAGAGTTTCTGTTGCACTTGACATTCCTATCTGCAAAACGAAATACCACATAAAGTAAAACAACAGTAGCATTTGAATCGAAACCATTTAGTCTAGTCTCTTCTACCATGTCGATTGTAAAAAAAAACTGTATTTTTGTGTCTACGCGTCAAGGGAAAGTCTCGTGTAGACGGTTTCTTGAGGGATGTAGTCGTGTAGACCTGAAAGGTAATGGAGAGAAACGGGCGTAAATTGCCCTATAGAGTTCTTTGCTCCCTCAGGTGATTAGAGAAGAAAATGTTCCTTATTATTGATCTCTTGAGCTAAAGACTGAGTGAGCTCGGTCAAATGATTTCGCCTTCAATTTTTCACTTCATAAACATAATATATAAAGATTTTATTGGTCATTCACTACTTGGAAATCCTCCAATATAAAAGAATTATCATTCTGTGTGCTGTAATTAAACACATAAATCAGCCATTGATAGTCCATAAGCAAATATAGAATATTTGCATATTCAGCACAATTTTCACAGCAAAACCAAACCCGTTAGACTTTTACTTGAAAATCGCAGCAACAAGTGGATGTAGCTATTAGCTCGAGTGTGAACTCTCATAGAACGTGTTTTTGCTTTGCTTGTTTTCGATTCTCATTCTGTTTATTATTGCTCTCATAAGAACGGATTAGAGCTTAATCCCTAACCAAACCGTATCATCAAAATTTTATTACAGAAGTGGAATAATATTTCTGATTGTATTATACTGAACAGATAAGAAATGCAACAGAAGTATGGAGTTACCAGTATTCCATTTACGAATCGAACGCTTAAGGTCTGAACAAGTGCATAACCAGCAAGATCAGATGAATTAATGTGTCCAACAAATGACTGAGTTACAACTATGGTTCCAAATGAAGATACTCTTGATATAATACTTGGCAAGGCAACCCTCCATATTTTCTTGGATTCTTCAGAAATCCTCCCTTTGAAATTCCCCACCTGTTCTGATTCTGGACTAATCAACCTCTCTTGCATGGAATTGTCCATGGCTTTGTCACTGTGAATGAGGATTGAAAAATCAGCTTGTCATATGTATTTTCCAGTACTTATTTAAGAGCATGTTTGGCTAAGCTTAAAGTAAGCGAAGTAACTTTTTATTTCCAAATATGTTTGCTATTGCTATCAAGAAAAGCTGAAAAGAAGCTTGCATTTAAGCTCAACCAAACATCTCTTACTAGACTTTTAAAACTCAAATCAATAATTAATTAATAGTCTTGATCAATCATTAACTGATCAAGAATTTCTCCAACCTTATCTTATAATTTTCCATTTTTCTTAACTTGCAGTTTTATATCATTCTGTACCTAATTTTATGACCCTAAAAATTCTTCGTTTTGATTTGATACTTTTTATTGTGTTTTATTGTACCTTTTGTGCTGCGTAAAATGATATAAATGGCAATTAACATTCATAGTTAAACCAAAAAGGTCGGAAAGAATTCATATTAAAATTTAAATTGACTCGCTTGAAGGGCCCAACTGAGCTCTACAATATGCAAGTGCAACCCATTTAACTTCCCTAAACAGACAGAAGAAGAGACTAGTGAAAGGGACTTCAATTAATAATTAAGTATACATAGAAGAATAATCCTGCTTGTACATAGCATTTCAGTACATAAAAATACATTTATAGCATCTTCGACAAAGCATGTAAGAGATGAATTTTATATCGACTAAAAATGTATATACATAAGTGATAAGTTTAAGGTTGACAGAATCCCAAGCCTTAACAAAACTTATATGCACGGCTTCTTGATTGTTCCATTAAACTAGTCTTAGTCAAACTCAAAATCAAACGTGGTATTAGTGTGTGTGTGTGTGAGAGAGAGAGATTTGTACATTGTTTTTGTGATGAACGGCGGTTTCAGCTTTTTAGCAGCTTCCTGGAGCAGCCAGTCCGAGGAAGAGGTGGGGGGCGCAGGAAGAATATAGAATGAACTGTGTGTGTGTGTGTGTGTGTGTGTGTAAAGTATATATTTGTGAAACTAAAGCAAAGTGTCATGGGATTCAGAATTAATTATTATGAAAAAAACGTGAATGGTCAAGGAACATTAGGGATAATTGCAGCTGAAGTCCCAAACCTTTCAAACAGTGGTAGTCTAGTAGACTTTCTCATAACCTTTCAATCGTTGCAACCGTCATCCCAAACCTTTCAAATCATAACAATTGAGGCCCCAATGGACGGTTTCCATCCAATCTCGTGTTAGTTGACCCAAAAAAATAATTTTGATCACATTTTAATTAAAATTAGAAGGGCAAAATAGTAATTTAAGATTTTCCCCATAAAATAATTAAAAAGTTAAATCAAAAACAAAAATAAAATAAAATAAAGAAAATCTATCTTCTTCACCCATCCCCCAGCCCACCTCCTCAACCCAAAACTAGAAATTTGCCACCGACCACCATCACTGATGGCAACATTATTGGGCATGGGAGGACATTGCAAGAACTCACCATGTTTTTCTTTTCTTCTTCTTTTTGGGTCATTGCAATAAAATGAAAAGTACCATATATATGAGACAATAAGCTTGTGCTTTGGCTTATTTATCTTCAATTGATGTTCTATCTTCTTTCTACTGTCCTTAAAAAGAAAGATTTTTCTCGATTACTTATTTATCTTGATATCTTGTGGGGTTTATGATCTTTTGGCTGGACAACCTTTTTTTACTTGCGTTGAACATTGTATAATGTTATGAGATTGCCTCTCATGTTGTCTATTTTATTTTTTCAAGTATGAATAAGATGGTCATCAATCATTTGGATAAGCTCTTTATCGCAAATGATGCTACCACAACTGTGAATGAGCTCGAAGTGCAGGATCCTACAACTAAAATTTTAGTTTTTGTTGGGGAAGCTCAGTAAAAGGAAATTGGAGATTGTGCTAACTTGACCATTTCATTTGCGGATGAACTTCTCCATAATGTTGAGAAGCTAATCAGGATGGGTCTTCATCCCAGTGCGGCGATGGTGGTTGGTGGCAAATTTCTGATTTTGGTTTGATGGGGTTGGGGTAGGGTTGGGGTTGGGGGTTGATGAAGAATATATATTTCTTTTTTTATTTTATTTTATTTTTTTTATTTAAGTTTTTAGTTATTTTATTGAAAAAATATGAAGTTGCTATTTTGCCTTTTTAAAATTGATTAAAACGTGGTCAAAATAGATTTTTTAGGTCAACTAACACTAGATTGGATGGAAACCATCCATGAGGCCTCATCTGTTACGATTTAAAAGGTTTGGGGTGACAGCTGCAACGATTAAAAGGTTAGAGAAATGTCGCTGCTGTTTGAAAAATTTGGGACATCAGCTGCAATTATCTAAGAACATCATTTATGTGGCCTATTCTTTTTCAGCTTCAGATATGAATAAAAATGAGGTAACGAATCACCCCAATGGTCAACAATTAAATGATGAATCTAGTAAATTTGGTATAAATTATTATGATGATAACAAATTAATTTCCAACAACCGAGTTGAAAGGAAATGGCACAATGATGCAATAACCCAATGGACTGAAATTGTTGGCCCAGCTAACTGAATAAATTGGTTTATTACTTGGTGCAAAAATCGTGTGTTGATTGAATGAAGAAGTCCTGTTTTTACTTAACCTTTTGCTGGAAGGTCAGGATGTTGCCAAGTGCAATCACCACAGCAACCCTTATTGTTTTGCGCCGTTCGAGTTTCTTCTCTCAATATTTCTGTTCTTTGTTCTCTCGAAAGAGTTGTAATCTTGAGTGATTCTTCTTTCAGTTGAGAGCAATGTTCTTGAGTGAACTACTGTTGTTTGAGAGTTGAGATCTTATGTGAAATACGGGTTTAGTCTGAGTGCTTAAATTTTCTGTAATCCATACCTTGGTTGTAGTTTATGTTCGAATGGTTGTTGTTCAGTGACTGAGACTCTGATTGTATGAACTATGATAGTCGATCTTTGATAATAAAGATAAGTGTTCATTTTAAAGTTCATTGTTATGTACTTTTTATCTTCAATTGAGTTTGATTATAGCAGTTTCCGATTATTGCAATTTATACTTTGTGTTCGATTTTACTACTCTTATGTCAGTTCGGTTTTTTTGTTACTTTGCACATATATTTGGTAGATCTGTGAGCTAACCAATGTGATCTCCTCCCAACAGTGGTATCAGAGTAACTGGAAGGAGTGATTGATGCCTCTTTGAGCTCGATCTTAACACGGATAAAAATTTTGTAGCAGGACTGCGTGCTTGCTTGAAACCCTAATAAGGGGCTTTGATGAGATCTTTACAATTTTGAGTTTTTCACGTTTATATCAAGCTGCATACTTGTTCATTGGGTGATCTGTAGAGTTCGGTTTTATTAACTTGATTAAGTGTTCTGCTTAATTAGTTACTGCCTAGTATGGGTTGATATCGACTGTGTTGGTTATTCTGCCATGGTTAGATTTTCTGCTTAGCTTGGATTTCTGCCTTCTATAGATTATCAAACTTGTGTTTTTTTGAAAACCTGAATCATTGACTCCTTGCAATTCCTTTATCCAGAAACCAAAAGTTGTCTGGAATCTAAGGGTTACTTGGATGAAAGTCAAGATTCTTGATAATCTTAATTTCTAAAAATCATTCTGCAATATTGTACAACTTGATTGAAGTTCTGCAAATAATTCTTTACCTCTGTTCAATTGTGTTTGTATTGAGTTAACCAAATTGTGTACATTATGATTCAATTCTGAAAGTGCCTGCTCTCTGTACTTGCAATCTGTGTACTCTGTTGTGTCCCTTGTGTGGTGATACTTCTTTGATCTGCATTGCAAGTTTCTGATCTAGTGTCTGACTGATATGTATACATCTATTTCATTCATATTTTTCAAAAATGACTTCNTTGTTCAGTGACTGAGACTCTGATTTTATGAACTATGACAGTGGATCTTTGATAATAAAGATAAGTGTTCATTTTACAGTTCATTGTTATGTAATTTTTATCTTCAATTGAGTTTGATTATAACAGTTTCCGATTATTGCAATTTATACTTTGTGTTCGATTTTACTACTCTTATGTCAGTTCAATTTTTTTGTTACTTTGCACATATATTTGGTAGATCTGTGAGCTAACCAATGTGATCTCCTCCCAACAGTGGTATCAGAGCAACTGGAAGGAGTGCTTGATGCCTCTTTGAGCTCGATCTTAACACGGATAAAAATTTTGTAGTAGGACTGCGTGCTTGCTTGAAACCCTAATAAGGGGCTTTGATGAGATCTTTACAATTTTGAGTTTTTCACGTTTATATCAAGCTGCATACTTGTTGATTGGGTGATATGTGGAGTTCGGTTTTATTAACTTGATTAAGTGTTCTGCTTAATTAGTTACTGCCTAGTATGGGTTGATATCGACTGTGTTGGTTATTCTGCCATGGTTAGATTTTCTGCTTAGTTTGGATTTCT